CGTAGAAACCCGTGCTTTTTCCTAGACGTGTTTGAAGAGTCGGACAAGTTCAAGGCAAGATGGAACATATTCATCTTCTCGGAAACGAATTTTGGTGCAGATGGACGAAAGAGTACTTGCCGACGCTCCAGGTGCGACAGAAATGGCTATGTCCGAAGCCTAACCTCAGAGTTGATGAATTGGTTTTTAGGATGGCAGACAGGAACATGCCTCGAGAGCAGAGGCTAAAAGCTTAAGTGGAGCGGACCTTCCCGGACAGTGAAGGGATAGTACGTCAATTAATCGGTAGAACAACAGAAGGAGTATACCGCAGAGACACAACTTTAGGCTGATCCGCTTTTCTTGATACGTTAGAAAGCCTCTTTTGCCAGCGGAGAAGTTGCAGAACCGTACTGAAGAACAAAACAAACCATTTCAAGCCAGAACAATTCTGTGAACAGCAATTGCGTTAATTTTAGAAAGACTCCCTTGTCATCTTTCGGGGAGAGAGGGTGTATAATTCGTTGAATTTTGTACTTACACACTATAGCGCCGCTAACAATATACCTAGGGCGCAGTTTCTCGCACCGTGTGCATTGCTTGGGCGTCGTTTGTAGTTTTTTGCCTTTTTTTTGTCAAGTTTAGTTTTTAGCTAAGGATTTTGAGGCAATCCTGTTAGAAGCAGCAACTTCGAATCGTCGCCGAATAGATCCTCGTATGTAAATCGTTCTTTACAAGAATACAAGGAATCTGAACGCATACAAGTTGTTGTGTCGTGTTTATTTTCGCTAAGCGTAGCCGGCCCCTACAAAACTGCTTTTTTCGGTTCCAATGTAACTTTTAACTGTTCTGCCGCTGGTCTTCCGAAGCCAAATATCACATGGGTCAAGAACAATAATTCGAATGCTGCAAACTCAAACCCAAGGGCAAGAGTAATTCCAATTTTACTGGATGACAGAAAAATAATTCAAAGTCAGCTGTCAATAAGAGAAGTGAAGGAAGAAGACGACGGAAAAAATTATTGTGTTAAAAAGAGCAGCGCTGGAGAAATAGCATCGAAATATGCGTTCTTGTTCATTAAGCAGCTAGGTGAGGTCGCACATTGGTACAGTTTGTAACTTTATGTTCAATTTCCGTGAGGGGCAAGTATGCAACATAGCTCAGAGTGAAATTTCACAGGAACGATAAGTAATTGAAAAATTCTCAAGTTTGCCGACTCTCACTGTATGCAATTTTTCCTCATCTTTCAACTGCTGTATCCAGCAACAGTGTCACTGAGAAAAGATCAGCATCGTTCAGTCTCCATGATTACTGCGCTTGGTGTTTTTGGTGGCACCATAATGACAATCATGTGCGGGTGCACCATGGCGTTTTTCTATCGACGTGCAAGACCAAATAACCAGGTATTTTTCATAGATTGTTTAACTCCTAAGAGTGACTAGCATCTAATTTCTCCTTATAATATCACCCTCAAATCGCACATTAAGGTGATGAGAATAAAGGA